TGCATGTATGTGTATGATGTAGATGATAAAAACAGCAGTTTCAGTCGCTCTATTCAGCTGCACACGAAGTAGACCAGCAATCGAAACAAACTACAGAGAGGCTGCGACACAGCACAGGCAGAGGGAGTGTGACACCATGAGAATAGTTGTATGCTGCATATATAACTTTTAGGTGTTGGTCTCCCATTCCAAAGTTGTGATATAAGGTTGTTAAGCTAGCAACAATATGTATTCTTTCCTCATTCATAGCAGCTCCTACTATTGTTAGCTTCCTTTAGACGAAGGTGAAATCAGTGTTATTTTATCTATAAAAGAGGTAAAATGTGCATTTTTAGCTGTAATAGCAAGAAAATTATAGAGGGCCTGCTGGCTCTCCTCTGGTATTCTGTTTATTTGTGTGTAGAATTAGAGAAAATGGAGGGTATGTGTTCGTGCTTTGAAGTGAAAGTGCAGGTTTGGCCACGTGGCTCTTTGTCAGTTTGCCACACTAGCACTTGTGTTTGTGTGTTTGTGATGTGTGCATGTTGCCTGTGTGTGATGGATGGTGTTTAGTTAGTCCAAGTGAAACCTCTGGCTAATCTCCCCTGCACCTCTCTAAATAAACCCAGTCGTGTGGCGGCTGTTGGTTTGTGAAGGGAGACTTGTAAAAACAGCCAAACACACGAGCACAAACACACACAGAGATCAGGCATGATTCAGCGCTGGGAGGAGGTCCAGAGCTCACTGATAAACAAAGATACAGAGGGTTTTTTCATCATTTCTATCAGTCTAACTATAGCAGTATACACTCATACAATGGAATTAATGTTGAATGCATGACCAAACCAAACTCTTTATGTTTTATACAGATAGGTCAGTGTGTATTTTGGTCATTCAATTTTCTTTTCAAAATTGGGCAAAATAATAAAATTAAAATACATGATGTTTTATTTCTTTTTCATGGTCAAAAAGTGAGAAATTACATTTTAAAAACTGTTTGATTTTCATTTTTCTATGAAAGTAAGGTTTGCCAGTGTTGCTTTAGCCCAGGCTAAAATGTCTACATTTTGCTCATCCATTATAAGGAGTATGGTGTAGACCTACTCTATTTGAAAAGTGTCCTGAGATAAATTTAATCCTTTATTGACCATAAAAAAGAAAAACACGTTTTTGAAAGGAAACTTGAATGACCAGAAGATACACGTACCCGGATTCTTCATAAACTTCATGGCTCACTCAGAATCATCCATTTGGACAACAAGATGATTTGGCTGAAAGTCAATCGAAGGTCTTGAATTACTTCCTGATACATTGGGATACACCTAGCTGATACCCCGTGGTTCTAAACATCTAACAAACCTGAAATTAAGGATCTGAGAGAATGTTACACATAAAACAACAGGGAATCTGCAATGTAGAGTGGTCCTGACCCAGTTAGAGCTTTATATACAATAATTGGATTTCAAAATGAGCAAAGAAGGCAGTGTATTTAAGCTAAAGTGAGTGGTGTGCTCTCTCCCCCTCTCTATGTTTTTTTTGTCAGGATTCTATCAGCAATGGCTGAACCTTGCCAGTGAGATGCCAGTGCCTTACAAATTTATCAACTCTGAGTCATCAGAGTTGATATATCAGAGAAGACAGCCATGTTTGCTCCTGGGTTCTTAATGCAGTCTGTAGAGATATGAAGAGGATGCAGAGTATAGCCACTGACAGTGCTGTGTAAATTCAGTTCACACAGATTTAAGTAAACCAGTTCATATTTCACAAATTAAAATTTTGAAGTTCACCGTCCCAAAAAATGAACAGTTCAGTGAAATGAGCTTCTTTACATAGTGCTGTGAGTTTGTCTTGGGTGGAGGATTTATTTATCACTTTTACCACTGTTACGCACCACCTGTCTACCGCCCACTTTATCCGCAAATCGCCCCTCCCTTATCACTTATTATGAGTTTGTTCACTCGCTATTGTTATCTTTAATTACTGCTGCTAAATTGGCCACCAGTGCGTATTGTTGTATGACTTGTCATATGGGGACCCCTTATGTTTACACTGGCAATTTTTTGGTGGCATTGTTGTCCACCACTTAGGTTACTTGTCGTCTTTTTTTTCAACCTAGCTGCTATGTTCAGCCCGTGTAAGCCTGCCTTGCAATTGCGGGCTTGTTGCATTTAGTTCAAGTCTTCCGTGTTCTGGGATTTATTTCTTATGTTAGGCCTTTAATCTCTACTTTTATTCTTATTTCTATGTCTCAGGCGTTAATTATTTTACTCCTAGCCCCCCTGGCTACTTCCGACTCTTCCCACCCTTCTGTATTGGGCCACCATGTTCTCCCCTCGCGCGCGATACCCCGTGGTTTTTTCA